TACAAGGTCTGTCTGGTGGTAGTGGTTTTCTTTTAATGGCTAAGTGGCTTGTTGTTTGCTCAATTCAGAAAAGCAACTCTACCCAAAGACACAGACTGTTATGCTATTCAAATTTATTCCTATATAAGCTGTGGGAAAGTATGAATTGAGAATTTGTCAAGGAAGCTTGCAGTGTCTGGGCAGTGAAGTTTCATGTAATAAGCACTGGTCAAGAGCCAGTTGGCCTCAAGTCCAAGCTGTGACTTTCCTGTTCCATCTATGAAGACTAAAGTATTTAAATATTTGGACTAAATACATCAGGAGTATCACAAAACACAAAATACTGACCCATCTTCCTAAGTAGGGAGAACTCTTTCCATTCCTTAAGCTCCCATACCACATAATTTCAATGTAATTAAGGGTACTGTATTTGAAACTAGCCCTTTTAGAAAGGAATTCTAGAATAGCCTTACCTAGGCTGTTTCTTTGCTACTGGGCAGCTGTTAGCTTCAAATAAACTCAACACTAGATTTGCAACAGATGTTCCTAAAGTAGAACAAAGAGGGGGATTTCTGGATTCTTTGCAAAGAAAAGAAGAAGAAAAAGAATCAAAATCTGGCAAGGTCATCATTAACCTGGAGAATGAGCTTCGGCAAGCCACAGACGGACAGGTCCATCTTTCCACTGAGGTTCAGGAGAAAGTGTTTGTTCAATACAACCAATTCTTTTGTTCCTCCATTAAGCCATCCGTTTTCTTCTGAGTTTCACTTAGTACCATTCCAATGTGCTGCCATCTTCTTCAATTAAATAATTTGGGGATGTTACAACTACAGCTTTTACTCATTAATGATTTTATTACCCAGGATTTCTTAAGCCAAGGAATCATCACTAAAGAATTTTGTAGATCAACAGTTTTTCTTCTATCTGCCCAAGTGGACATTTTTGTTTAACAATGTGGCTTTTGCCAGAAAGTCTCTGAATAGCTGGGCATCTGTGAAGAGAATGGACTGAGCTATCTCTTTTATTTTCTCCAACTGGATTTAAATTTCTTGCCTGCTTGTCTATAAAGTCACCAGATTTTAAACCTCCATTGCCTGGTGACTTTATTTGCCTTGTTAATGTGGTCATTATAAATCCTAATGGAATAAATGGCATAGAGGAACACTCAGACAGAAGCTTCCCCTGTCTGTGGTAGATGACAGTTAACACAGAGAACACGCCGCCCCCAACTTGGTCACCATACAGAGAACAAAAGACTATGGAGTCTTCTACACCAGACAGTCATATCACACCCCTCACCCCAAGGAATCTTTGTAGAAGAGGAGGTAGGAATGTTGTAAGAGCCAGAGGAGGTTCTTAAAAATCAAGAAAACAGTGTTTTCCAGCCCAACAGGGAAGACGAACATCTGGAACTCAGTGACTATGAAAGCATGCAAAAGAACTTCTCATCTCCGGCCAGTGAAAAATCTCAGCATGGAGATGGAAGAAATGGACATTTAACCCCACCACTGGCTGAGGTACTGTTGGCATTTGATAGCTACTGGGAGAAGAGTCAGTTCCTTTAATAAAGGGCCCCTGATGGGCTGACCTCACACCAGGGAGGCCTCAACCCTGAGACTAGTTGAGCAACACAAACTGGACTCCATGGGGAAAGAAGAAGAAAAACAAGAAAGAAAAATCCAGATTTGGGAAGGTGCAAAAGGTCATAAGACAAAATGTTAGGGAGTGAATATGTTCAAAATTCATTGTATAAAACTATCAATGAATTAATAAAAACATTGTAAAAAATAACCTGACTTTTTGAACATGGTAAAAAAAAATGTAGTGAGGTGTTGAATAAAAAGTGTGCCTTATTCTCTCTATTGTTCACCTATCAAGTAGCAGACATGAGTTGGAAATAAATGATAAAAAGGGTTCAATGAATAATCGCTGTGTCGTTTCAGTTAAATGAATATCTGTAAAAAGTAAAATAATCACATACTCATATAGTCCCCCCATACACACCGTTTTTTGTCCTAGAAACAAAGATGAAATCTATTTGTGACCTTACCATCTACTTCTAAAAACAACAACAACAAAGAAAAAAACCCCAACTATCTTTTGTAAAGATTCTAAGGTGTGCTCACTGGCAATGCCATCTATGTGATAGCAAATACTGGTATTTGTTTATTATCACTAGGCCCAGTAAGAAATTAACAACTGCTACTAAAACAGTTATAATAATGTGGGGTAAAACAGGAATTAATATGGAATTTTCCATTTGCTAATGTTTTTGGACTACAGATAATGATGGATAACTGAAACTGTAGATAGTAAAACTACCTCCATTCCTCTCTACCTCAGCTTCCCCTTCTAGCTCATCACCTCTTACCCTTATGACTCATAAGTCGAGGAGGGCCAGTTCACATTTGCTGTTTCCACAAGAAGCCTCACAGGAAGCAGCAGAGCAACAGGCGGTGGGGAGAAGACGATGCTAACAAAACTACAGAAGAGAACCATTATGTGTTTCTGTATCAGGCATGTGATTCATTCACTTATAGCTAATGGTGTTTTATTGCTAGGAAATGAGCTAGAGCTTAAAAGAACAAGACAAAACTACGTTCAATTATTTATGGCCACTGAGTTTCTAGAGAAATTTTCTAGCTTGAAAAATATACTAAACAACATTTCTTGAAAGGACTTTCAGCATCACACACACACACACACACAGAGTTTTAAATGTGTTGTTGAAAGTATATGTGTGGTAGCTTGAATGTAATTGACTCCCATAAGCTCATAGGAAGTGGCACTATTTGGAGGTGTGGTTTTGCTGCAGTAATTGTGGCCTTCTAAGAGGAAGCGTATCACACATAATCAAGCCACGCCCAGTGTCTCAGATCACTTCCTGTTGCCTTGGGTCAAGATGTAGAACTCTCAGCTCCTTCTCCATTACTATGTCTGCCTGCATGCTGCCCTGTCCCACCATGATGATAATGGACTGAACCTCTGAAACTGTAAGCCACCCCAATTAAATGTTTTCCTTTATAAGTCTTACCATGGTCATGGTGTCACTTCACAGCAATAGAAACATAAATTAAGACAATATGAGAATAAGAAAAATGTTCAAATCTTCTTCAATTCAAAATACAGAAAAAGTGAAAGGAGGAGTATGAACAGGCAGGGACAAGGTGCCATCCCTGAAAGAGAATGAGAGTCAATTGCTGGGTGACAAGTTCTGAAACAAAGCCTCCTGGAACGTGTAGATTATGAAAGGCAAGTTTGAATTAATAAATGCTGAAAATGGCCGGGCTGCTCTGATGTGGTTTCTTTGCAAGCTGCCCAGTGTTAGTTACATAATTGAATACTCTGAAAGTAAAGATGTGTGTTGGGGAGATTAGCTGTCAGTAGAATGCTACAGGAACAAAGAAGGAACTACATGTGTGCCTGGTGACACACCACAGAGAACATTCAGGGGCTAAAAGCTCAGAATACTTGTGAGGTTATTTCTGCCAAAGAATGTGGGTGCAGTCTTTGGAGCTGCCTATTCAGGCATCTAAGGCTGACTTCTAGATAATATCTCAGCAAAATCCCAAGCACAAGTGTTGGGTAGTTTTATCTGTTTGGTGTGTAGACACTTGAGGATGAACCAACAGAAACCATTCCACCCAGGCTGTCTCAGTCTGCTTACCAACTCTCAGACTTCTGTATACTCCAAACATATAAATAGACTCAGAAATTTTTACTGTCCGTTTGACTATTTGACTATTGATATATTTGATTTTTGGTAATATATTGTATGACAGCAAAGCCACTTCTTGTTTTCCTTTGTATATTTGTGTCTTTGTACCACTATTGATTTTCATATAACAGATATTCAAAAGAGTTACTGAATTAGAATAGACATTCTTACTTCTCTAAATAAAACCATACTTTGTTTGAGGGCTCTGGCTCAATCTTTAGCCCAGCAGAAAACTTTTTTAAAAAAAGGAAGAATAGCCGGGCGGTGGTGGTGCACGCCTTTAATCCCAGCACTCAGGAGGCAGAGGCAGACGGATTTCTGTGAGTTTGAGGCCGGGCTGGACCGACAGCCTCCAAAACAATACAGAGAAACCCTGTCTCGAAAAACCAAAAAAAAAAAAAAAAAAAAAAAGGAAGAATATTTTGAATCAACATTCCAGTCTAATCTAGAAATTGTCACTACTACCTACCCACCTTTACCCCTCACATTCTGAGTCATAAGAATTTCTTGGTTAAAATGTGACAGTGTATGTACTCAATGATATCCCAGGACAGAAAATAAAATATGAACAACCAGTAAAAGCTCCAGAGTTCAAGTAAGACAATGGGCTTCATTCATGTGTGAATCCAAGCAGGTTAAAGACCTCACTGGGTGATATGTCCACTCATGTGCCATGTTCTGGCCAAGGCAATTACGTCTTCCGGACAGACAGTCTGCTCCCTATAAGCTACTTTCTCACCCTGGCCTGACTGAACTTTGGATAAATTCCCATACAAATATTCCCATAAAGGTCAGGGAGAGGGAAGTCTGTCTTCTCACAGCGGTTAGGTCTGACTCACTCTATGCGTCTTTCTCTTTACTCACCAGCACACGGGACTTGCTCTGACTTTCCCATCACTTATGTGAGAGTGTCATTGAAACCTTAGTGAGAGGAGACCCCCATTATCACTTCCTCACTGACCTCCGGGTTGGCTGCCAATACCCAGTTCTTGTTTTCTTGAAGGCCTCAAATGTCCTCGAATTAATGTATGGGTGACATCGGGCTTGAGGGTGGTATGACTGGTGGAATATTAAAATTACATTTTATAAGGTAGATAATGTGCTAATATTGAGGAAGGGATAAGCTCTCTGATATCAAAATTTCTATTTGGATCTCAGAATGAACAAAGACTAAAGAAAAATACTTCTAATTAGTTTATCAGGCATGCTTCATTATGGCTCTTTATGTAAATAATAATAATTAGGCTATTAGCAGTTCACTATGTGTAAGCCCACAGACACACAAATATGTCATAGAAGGATAATTTTTATTAATGAATTTAGGGAGATAAAATTTGTCCAGTCATGCCCAAGAAGAATGTCTTAGACCATCTGGAGTTTTACAGTAAATTACTTTAGCCTGGGTGACTACAAACCAGAATTTTTTTTTCTTATGGTTCTTGATGCTAAGGAGTTCTAGGATTGAGGCATCAGTAAATGATGTGTCTGTGTCAGACAATGGCTCCTATCTGGCTCACAGATGGAACATTCTGGAATTTTAGTCTTCACATGTGAAAAGGAAAGAATAACACAGCCCCCTGGAACTCTTTCTTTTTCGTTTTTTGTTTCTTTTTTTCAATTTTGCTCTGGGGATGGCGGTATGACAGGATGGCATCATCTTGCTGTGGATCGGTGCTGAGGCCAAATTAATTTCATTAATAAGGGTTGTGTCCTCAAGGCCTAATTACTTCTCAGGCTCCTCACTCATTAATGTCTTCATGTTGATAGTAGGGTTTACCCTAGGAATTTTGATAGGACACATACATTCAGATCAGAGTATCATGTATACTATTGCAGCATTAAGTAACCATAGTAATTTGCCCCAAATAACTTCACTTTAACATCACTAATGACTTCCTGTGGATACCATGTAATATTTTTAGCTTATCTTTATTACATGATTTAAAAAACAAATAGTACATGACCTTATAGGAATTTCTACCTTATAGTTCCAGTTCTCATCTAATCATGAGACACTTAGACTGGGAACCCTTACGCAGGACAGTTTGCCAGTCATGAAAATTAAGGAAAGATGGGTAATAGTCGCAGACCAAAGGAGCCTAGAAAAATGTGACAACTAAATGCCATGTGGTACACTGAACTGAACCTTGAAAAGGACAGAGACCATTAATAGGACCTCTGTGAAACCTAAATAAAATTTTGAGTTCAGTAAAAGAAAAAACATTCAAGATAACCTTTTGGCTGAATCTGCTCAGAACAATCAGAAGGGAATTCGCCAAGTAGCACAGAACAGCACTTCAAAGGGGACATGGGCTGTGCTCTCGAGTCCACAACCCACAACCCACTTCAGCAGTTAAGTGTCAGTTCTCAGGAAGAGCAGAGATGTGTGGACCACTCACTCACTAATTCATTTATTCTCTCATCAAAATAAAAGCTGAAGATCTGTGATGAGCAAGGCTCTCTTTAAGAGACTCTGTCTTGAAGAAGAGCAACTTGGATCACCACCTATATCTCTAATCTTTTGGGAATCAATTTCTCATCTTTCATTACCTTACTGCTTGTTGCGCTTGGACTGTAATACAAAATGCTGTGGAATGAGTGTCCTCAACAACAGAGATTTATTTGCTAACAGTTCTGAAGACTGGGAAATCCAAACTCAAAGTTGCAGCCAATTCCTTTTTTAGGGATGGATCTGTTCCTGACATGCAGACAGATGCCTTCCTATTAAGTCTTCACATGACCCTTCATGGAGCATAACAATTCTCTAGACCCTCTTACAAGGACACCAACCCTAACTCAGAGCCCCACCCTTAGGATGTCTATTAAAAAACTTCAATAGTCAACATACAGCCAGAGTAGAAGATAGGGCTTCAACAAATGCATTTGCATAGAACACATATATTCAGTCCATAAAAAAAAGTGAACCAAAAACTAAAAATATATTAGCTACTGAACCATCCAAATTTCCATCTAAGACCAGGGAAATCTGAAAAAACAAAAATGAAGGCGGGGAATTTAAAATCCCCTCTTTGGGGGAACCTTGGATTTCTTTTGTATACAAGAGAATGTGCAGCTTTGCCATGGTAAGAAGTAGGAGTGTCTAATTATGGATCTGCCACAGTTATCTCTTGCTAGATATGTATTCCATTTAGTTAAATTCAATTAGTTTCTGGCCCTGCTTGTTAGTCCCTAAGAGGAGGGGAAGGTCTAAATCTGGGTAGGACCAATGCAACATGGATAGAAATGAAACAAGAAAGCAAAATTCCGTGTAAGAAGACAGAAGCACACCTCTGATTCTAGAAGGTCTTCTGGGTTGAAATGGGTACCACTGACACAACATTTTGCTGTGAACACAGTGCCTGGTAGCACCGCAGGACAGTCACTGTCATCAACAATGTAATTGCTGGAAAGCAGCTGACTCTTTTCTGACAAAGCAAAGGGCTTTGGAGCAAATGGATGCTGTAGCCATCATGGCCTTAAGGAGGATGGTTTCCTCTGCAGGGACGCTGTTTAGTTAGGGTGGGCCTGCCCTTTGCCTCATTCTGCCGTGTTCTCCTTAGCCCTGTTGAAGAGGCAGACACAGTTCTGACTTGTGGAAGATACTTTTTTTTTCCACAGTGGCATCTGGACATCTGGTACTTTGGCAGGAAAATCAGGATGATCTTAAAATGGTTAGTTTTCTCTCCCAAATCTTTTTCTTTCCTTCAAATACTTACAGAGGCTGAACTTTCTTTTCAGAGCTAAGAAATGTTCAAGAGACATTTTGAAAGAGAGCATCATTCTGGAGACCAGCTTAGAGGAGAGCTATAACTCATCCTTTAAACCCCAGTTCTCCCAGACGCACATGAATGTAAGCTCTCTCTCTGTCTCTCTGCCTCTGTCTGTTTCTCTCTCTGTCTCTCTCTCTGTCTCTCTCTCTGTCTCTCTCTCTGTCTCTCTCTCTGTCTCTCTCTCTGTCTCTCTGTCTCTGTCTCTGTCTCTGTCTGTTTCTCTCTCTGTCTCTGTCTCTGTCTCTCTCTCTCTGTCTCTGTCTCTGTCTCTGTCTCTGTTTCTCTCTCTCTCTCTCTCTCTCTCTCATTTTCTCTGAGAATGAAAAACTGAAGCAAAATCAATACCAGTTTACTCTGAGTTTTCCTAAATGGAATTAGGAACCCCCCCATTTCTTTTCTGAAATGTATAAACCCCATGATCAAATTCCCAGCTTCAGGTAACTGGGGTGGGTGAGGGATGGGGGACCAGAATGTTACCACAGCCAGCAGACTGCTCTCAATTTAGATGCAAACAGATCTCCAGCTTGTCTGAAAGAGCACGTTGGAGTGAGATTGTGCTAAGCCTTTCAGGTCTTTATAATGATAAGCCCAGGAAAATTTATAGCAGAGAGTCACATGACCAAAGCAGCACTTTCAGGTTAATCCGGCCGCAGTGTGGGGAGTGGAAAGTGGAATCAAACCAAGGTGGGGCAACAGCCAAGGTGAAGGCAGCAGATCCTGAAGGTCAGGAAGCAGTGACAGCAGGGTAGCCTAAGGACGTGTTTGCTATACATACCAATGCTTTTAACTGGGTGCAGAAGGTATTTGCCTTTGTACTCCAGGGCCAGGGGTCTGGATGACAGTCTGTCCCCTGTACCCCCAGCCCTGCATGCTGAAGGCTCAAGACAACTGTGCCTCCACCCGCCCACTCCCACAGGGATGCCAGGAGTCCCAGCGCCCCTGCCACCACACACTGTCTCTCTCTTCTAAACAGGTCTCTTTTGTTTCTCTCCCTTACATAATTTTTAAAAAGAAGGTCCACCTAATCCACTTTATTCCTACAGCTTTAAATTAATTTTTGTCATCCTCCACCTGTCTTCTCGGGTTTGACTCTAATCCATACCCTTAATCCTGAGGAATGGTTTGTTTTGGATTTTCGTCTCCTGGGAATTGGGCTTTAGCCTTTCGGCCTGAGCGATTACAGTTTTACTATGTTTTTTAACCTTTTATCTCATTGGCTTATACTGTTTTGTCTTCCATTTTAAAAATCTCATCTGTATTGTATTTCTAAACTCTTAACCTTCAGTTTTAGCTTACCCTATGCCCTCTTTTTAAAGTTTAAGTCCCACTTAATCCACTGTCCCTTTTTCTTTTTAAGATTTGCCACTCTTTATTATTGTTATTATTATTATTATTATTATTATTATTATTTTGTGCTGTTTCTGGATGTGAGCCCGTTTTCAGAATGAACGTGAAAGGCCATAGAAGATGCCAAGCCACCGTAAGAAGGAAGTGGGAACTCCTCCCCCTCATCCGATTCCATCACCTCACCTTCCAGCATACTGAAACTGTACCCAAGAGACCCGAGAACCCCTGCCTACTAAGACTGGATTTAAAAGCCAAAAAGCAGTAAACAGCTTCCTTGGTGAAAAAAGAAAGTATGTTTGCACTGACCATGACCTCTGCCCATCACTGAGGACTGTGTAGTACTCCTGAGACCTGCCTCAGTGACAGACAGGCGTTTTGGGTATTCTGTGTCAAGATACTATAGGTGGCCCTGCCCAAGCTATGGGCAGCACTTGCAGACAGTGTGTTTCCAGGTGAGTCTTCCTGCAAGGAAAATTTCCTTATGGTATCCACTTTGCTTCAGTATGAAGGCTAGAGGCTGCCCACAGGAGAAGTTAGAGCACACATTGGAGAACCTAAGAAAAAGCAGAAGGTCATTTTACATTCACACAATGGAAGTAAGTTTCTCTCAGAAGACTTTAGGCACATAACAAATGGATTCTCTTGCGGGGGGGCAGGGGGGTCGTTTTTTTTTGTTGTTGTTATTTGTTTGTTGTTTCCTGCTTTCATAAGGACCGGGTCTCCAAAGTCATGCTTAGTAGTAGCACTACCACAGCACTGTCCTCACCCTGGGGACTCCTGTCAGATTGCCACTCCAGGACTAAGTGGCTCCCTCTACTGAGAACCTGTTCCATATCTTACAACTGGGTCACTTGTAATTCCTGCCCCGCCCTGCCTCAATCCTTCCTCTAAAAGAACACATCATATGCCACACCTCTCACATGTCACGTGGTGCTGCATACCAACTCCTAACCTACTGCAGTGACCTGGTTTTAAAAACTGAAGACACAGCCAGCCAACTGTCACCCTAACCGGGTAGACATTCTGTCTCCAAACAAGGTCTTTTTTCAGCAAGCACATCCCCAGAACCCCAAGAGCTTTGACATTTTAGTCATGTATTCAGAGAACTACAGGGAGATATCACCATGCACTGTACGCCATCCTGACTAACAAAACAATGCTTCTACCATCATGGAACTTACACTTCAATGAGAATGGGATGAATAATAGGAATCTTGTAAAGAAAAATAGGGAGTGAGGAAGGCGGGTTTAAGTGGAGACAAGGGTAGGAAAGGAGGGAAGGAGAGGGTGGTACTGGGGTGGCAAAGTCAAAGGATTCTTGAAAAGACTATATGGAAACCTAACATTTTAGAAGCTTCCTATATAATGTATAGGTATGAGTTCAATTGGAGTTACCTTAACAGGAGATTAAACACATCCCAAAAGTCATGTGCTGGTCAATAAAAAACCCAGTGCCAGGTGTGGGGCACCTTCCCACAAGTTGTTGGTCAGAGGTGTCTCAGAGACCCACAAAACAATAGAGACAATTACCATTGCTCTCAGGTGTGCACCAGAACTTAATGGTAGACCCTATTGCTGAAAACATCGCACACTGGTCACAGAGCATGTAGAAATCAAGTCCTTGCTGACTAGGAAGCTTCCTTCTTTCAGGCTAGCTCTCTCAGTAGTAGAAGGCTACAGTCACTCTCAGCACTTAGTCTTCTTCCCTTATAGATACCCCCCTTACCCTGGCACCCATGCACCCCCACTTCCCTCCGTTTCACCCCTTCCCTTTCCTCTGACCAGGATGTTCTCCTCAAATCCCATCACTTTCCCTACTCATGCTCACTCTGTCCTGTTGCTGACTTGGGATTATGTGAGTGCAGTTTTATCTCTCCGTAGGCTAGGATCATTCCCACCACAGGCAACTCCTTACACACAGCATTTACAGAACAGAATGGAATTTACATTCTCAAGAAGTGCTGAATGACTGAACCAGGGACAGGATACTGAAGTAGCAAGAAATACACACAACAAGATAGTAATAGCAAACTGGCCAATGGCCGTCCTCACAGAGAACAGTGAGGCTTCTCTAAACACTACTTCCATAGTCTCTCATCAACTTTACAACTGTCTGGGATATTTTCCTCCACCTCTTTTCTCTCTAGCATTACAGTGGATACAGAATCATGTCAAGTAGCTTTATGTGTCTATTATCACACATGTGTGTGCTTGAGAGAAGTGGAGGGTTAGGGAGAGGGTATATGTAGGGGTCAGGACCATTTTGTGGCTTAGATTGTCGCCATCCACCTTGACATGAGTTCCTGGGATTCAGATTTAGGTCTCAGGCTTCATAGCAACTGTTTTACCCACTGAGCCATCTCACTGGCCCATGCTTACAGTTTGTAGAATATAAAACTTATTTGTTTGAGAGACTAATCGTTTCTCTCTCTCTCTCTCTCTCTCTCTCTCTCTCTGTGTGTGTGTGTGTGTGTGTGTGTGTGTGTGTGTGTGTGTGTGTGTCCGTCCCTTTTCGATGTAGTGTCACTGATGTTCCCAGAAGAGTTGCATGAATCACACGAGCACCTAGACCTGAAATGGGGCCTGGAGGTCATGACCATGACTTTCCAAGCGTTTTGAACGAGATCATTTGTCTGTGAACTGGAATCATATGTAAATTTTGCCCTCAACCATTACCAGCAAAGGACAAGCAAGTAAACATTGTTTCTCTGTTACACAAACTTTCTCATGACTTTTTCTAATTCAAGGTCAACATATTTTCTACTGAAATGATGCCTTTTGTTTTCAGTTTATAGTTTGTTTCTGGCTAGAGGTGATGCTTGGACTCCCTCCTCGTTCCACTTCTCCTTTACCAGTATTTATAATTGGCAGGACCCAGGACAATACACCCTTCATTTGTATTATAGGGCACCCTTACAGCTTCCCACTCCTAATTAGACCTGACTGCTTCACCTTCATGAATGATAGATAAAGATCTGAATGGAAGAGGTTGAGTGTTTTTTAATGCTATAAGTAACTGGTTGAAACAAATGTCAAGATTATGCTGCTGATGAAGAGTTTTGTCTGATCTCCAAAGTCCACACACATTGCCTCATACATGTCTGTGGCTCGGTCATGACAATCTCTGTGTAGTCAACGGGTGAAAAACATTCCACTACAGCATGTGCCCAGACAGTGTTAGAAAGTGGGAGTGTAGTAACTAATACAATCATGTCTGGCCCCAGTAGACATCAGTGTATTGACTTCTACTGGTGATACTGTATCATAAACTTGGTGTGCTCATCCTGAGCTCCCACGTATTCGTGACTTGGGAGGATGTCAACCCAATTTGGAAAATAAAGAAATTTCTGTAGAGAGAATGTTTCAGTAAAGAACTGAAAGAGGGGTGGGAAGTAGGTGGTAGAGATAGGGAGGTAGGAAGGAAGTCCCAGAAAAAGAAACATGATCTTCAAAAACCTGAAGGTAGAAGAGAAAAAGTCATTTTAAGGACAATGCAAATCATTCACGAAGGCTAAAACACAAACAAGAAAGACAGCCATCAACACTCCCACTGTGAAGGAAGAAGGTGCCCCTGCTGAAAGGCCTGGGAACCCTACCTCTCTACGTGTAAGACCAAATCACCATCAGATTCACCTTTCGGGACTCTCATGAGTCTGCATCATAGTATCAGATGAAGAGATGACATAAAATGAACAGAATGACCCTCAGCTATGAGGAGTAGCCTAATGGGGAGGAGGGGGCTGTGAAATTGGAGGAAGAAGACAGACACACTGTTGCTAAGGAGGGAGAACCCGCTGTTGGTGATGACGTGGCTGAAGATGACTTTGTTTCACTATCTAGGTTCTACTAGTCTTTGTCAGGGGAATGAAGGGATGGATTCAACATTCTGGGGGATTTGCAGACAGACATGTCTAATACCTAGGTCCTATCTATGACCTCATCTGAGGAGGCTTCTAAACAAGAGTTAGAGACTAGAGCACTGCACAGGTATATGGCAATGTAAATTTGGCTCCACTGAGCATGGAAGGAAAGAAACAGACGGTGCCATTTCCAAGGCATTAATGTTGACAAAGAAGACTATTTGTCGAATTGCTTTAAGTATCTTTCCTACCCCGCTCCAAAGACAAACTACAGATTATAAAATACTTCTCCAAAATACACCATTTCCTGAATGTTTCAGAAGGCATTCAGGAGCAAAAAAACCCTCCAGAATAGTCTCATTAAGCTCTTCTCATATGCAAGCACCATGCTAAGGTTCTGGGTGCAGAGATGAATGGTCCTCAGGGCCTGCCTCTGAAGTACCCACAGAAAAACAAGCAACTGACAAATACTAAAGCAGGATGGAAGTAGAAGAAAGAAAACAAAGAGGAAAAGCTTCATACAATTATAGAAAGCTTCACGGAACTGGGGCTTGGAGATTTAGCCAGGCATCAAAGGTAAGGGCCCTGGAGATCAGAAGAGGGACACAGCCAAGGGCACAAAGCAATCTCACTGATTTTTTTCCATTCAGAAAGCAGCAAGGAGCTCACGGTACCTGGGAGAAAGCAGCGTTGAATGGCTATGTCATAACTGCCCTGCTGACCATAGTGCAGAACATGGAGAAAAGCCTGTTTGGGGGTTGCAAAATTCCATGTGAAAAATTGCAACAGCCTGGACTGAGACAGTGACAGGAAGATGGATGCTCCCTTAAGAGAGATGCCAGAAAGATGGAGAAAGTGGAGATGACAATTTTAGATGTATGCCAAAATTAAAACTGCACAGAGGCAGGAAGAAAATGATCTGCATTTATGCTCCTTACAAGCTTACTGGCATATGAAGTTAGAAATGCTTGAAATGGCATCTGAGCCTTTGAAATTGATTATGGTGAAGTCATCTAACTATATCCTACTGCAGAAGTCCTCTGGGCCCTGCTGACAGGGGCGGAGTCAGTTGAAACTAAAGAACAAGGAGATTTTCCTGTAGTTAGAGTAATATGCCTGATCCTTGGTGTGTGAAGGGTCTGGGCTTGAAAACTGGCTTCACTAATGATTGTACAACTTTGAGCTCAAACACAGTCAGAATGAAGTGTGATCTGGATGGTGGTCATCTTTACATCATGTTGACTATTAGTGACAAGGGAAGGGTGTGTGTGTGTGTGTGTGTACCTTTAAGCTAGATAATACAACACATAATAGGAAGCTCTTATTTTTCCAGGGAACTGTTGTGACAGGAAACCAGCTTCACGAGTCCATACTGAAAAAAAGTCTCACAAATTCTTGTCCATCGTGTGCAAGTGTTCCATGTTAGTTAAATGTCTACAAACATTCCCATATTTAAAGCTGTATTCATTCCCAAAGGATGTCCTTGAAAATCTCACTCCAAGATGCTCATAGAAAACATAAAGAGAGGAACATGTTGCAAATTATATCAATTGTCTTTTCCAGAACCTACTAAGTCCTTTACATTTCCCAAGAACTTAATCACATCTATCATTAAGATCCTGAAAAGTCATGGATGCTAAAAATACACACTTGCAAACATACTTCCAGAAATACATGTAGTTATACTTCCATACATTCACATATATATATATATATATATATACATATATATATATTTCCATGCATTCAGGCAGTCATACCTCCAAACATGCATACCGGGATACTTTCAAAAAGGAATACTTCCGTACATGCATGCATATATATATGCATACATACATGCATGCATATTTCCATACACAAAAAACACTACTATATATACATACAAGCATACTTCCATACATATGTACAAGCATATTTATTTACATATATGCAAGAGTACCAACAAACATATTCAGGCAAACTTCCAAACATAAATGTAGGCATACTTGCATATATAATACATCTATATATACATACAAGCATACTCCAAACACAAATGCAGACATACTTCCAAACATGTCGACAGATATGCTCCCATGAGTGCATGCATGCATGCTTTGAAACATGTCTGCAGGCATACTGACAAACGTGCATGTGGACATACTTCCACATACCTACAGGCATGCACAATTTCCCAAGTTCAGAAATAAGTGTGTCACTCTTGGGGCTACCAGCAGCATCTTCTCCCTCCACTTTTCCTCTTGGTCTTTTGTCACTGGAATGACTGTTTACCCCAGAGCTGACATTTCCACGTCATCCCACCAGGTGTCTAGAGTTGTCTCCCCCATAACACTCCTGTAACAGATGGTGCAAATGGCCCAGCATGTGGATTCTGATTCACTGCAGGAAAACAAACTGCCAGACGGCTGACGAGCTAGAGGGGGAAAAAAACAAGTTGTTGCTTTAAAAAAAACATTATGAATTATGTGTCACATGGTGACTTTGCATTTGTCCCTGCTAAAAGATGATTAGCAATTTATTTACGAAGATTAAGTAAAAGCTTTTAGAGGACTGCCCTGTTTGAAAGGCATCCACTGGTGGCAAGAACTTGTCAGCACAGAGCAAAAAGCAAACAGCTGAAAGTTCAAGCAAAATTACATTGGGTACAAATTGATTTTTAAAGATTAATTTAATACATGGATTGGTAAATATGCTTATAAAAATTTTTGCTGATACAAGTTCCAAATCTCTAGGCCAGAACTGAACCTTAGTATGGCCAATAGTTTCTGGAACAAAAGAATATTTTCCAAGAACATTTAATAAGTTAGCTATTTTGTATAAAGGGCTTCTATTTTAGACTATTTGGAAAAGGCAATTTGAAAATGTGATAGAATTCTCCTGGACAGAGAAGGGGGTCTTATATTATCAGAGCCTTAGAATTAGATATTCAATTTCCCATCATTCCTGTTTGCACTACTCTTACTTTGAGTTTTTTTGAGAGTTGAGAGATCTCTTGGATTTCTCTAAGAAGACTCATCTATTTTTACTTCAGTTCCTGTAGCACAGAGGTTAGATTGAGCCATAATGCCAGAAAATTAAGGATGCCTTGACTTGGTGTTTACCGCTATCATTGGGATTGAGGTCTCCATAAATTCAGGAGGTCTTAATTTGAACAAAATACATTATCGGATCACAGTGGTAATTAGATGAAGAATCAGTAGTCATAAATTATACAGAAAACCCTCAATCATTTGCTAGAAAATTAAAAAAGACACTTCTAAATAGTCTATGGATGACAGAAGACATCAGAGCATACCTTTAGATGAATAAAGATGAGGACACTATAATGTGCCAATGTTTTTGAGCTGCCACTGAAGTACTATTTACAGGGAAACTTAATCACAGTAAATGTATCAGTGTTATATATACGTATATGTGTGTGTGTACATATATCATCAAAGCATTTTGCTCAAAGAAAATAGTGACGCAAATTCAATTTCTCTGAAATTGAAAGCCTCTAATCGTGGTGAATAAACTCATGAAAGGGATTCCCCATCATTGGTCATTAGGGAAATATAAAACCATAATAGGATACTACTATCCCTCTAGCAGAGTGACTTAAGTTAGCGAGACTAGCAAAAGCAAGCTCTGGAAAGGATATTTAAAAACTGTAATTCTCCCGAGTTGCCAACAGAGATGTAAAATTGTATAATCACTTTGGAAAAGAATCTGGCAGTTCTGTAGAGCATTAAACGCACCTATTCATTTCACTCCTAGGCCTTTACCCAAGAAGGAAGAAAGTACACGCTCCTATGCAGGCTTGTGCACTGACGTTTACTATGGCTCTATTTTAGTCATTAAAAGTCTGCAAACATCCTAAATGCCCATCAGTAGACACATGGATAAATGGCTTAACGATAAAACTTTATATCACCAAGAAGAGGAAAGGTACTACAACATGGATGAATCCCAAAATAATTATTCTGATTGAAACTATCCAGGGTACAAAAAGAATACACTGTCTTGTTTCATTTTTGGAAAACACAAACTAGACCTGGCAAAAATAAGTCTTTTGCTTGCCAATATGATAGAAAGTGGAGTGATAGAAGCTCTGGGGGTGACAGACACATTATTACCTTGATTGTAAAGGTGTTTCATGGTGTGCATGTGTCTAAGTTAATAAATTTGTGTGCTTAAATGTATGTCAAAAATATACAAAGCTGTTTGGAAGCAAAGTACCAATGTAATATTGACTGGTATCTGGAAATATTACAATCCCACCTATCACAGATAAATCGAGTGGTTTTCAGGTTGTATTTTGAGGAGACAGTTATGTCTGTCTTTTCACTGTTACTGAACTAGAAAGGTGGGGTTGTTTCCTTAAAGGCACACAGCTAGAGCCTAATAGATGTCTAGATCACCTATCCCATAGTCTCGCAAGTATCTGTGTACTCTTCTTGGATTCCTCACACTAAGGTTGCCAAATGTAGATATTTTCAAAAGTTTGTCATCTCAGTATAAGTAGATATATTATACTAGACCCATCTAGGCAATGAATTTTTGCCACATAAGGAACCTTGTTTTGAAAATCAGGAGTAATGAGGTTTGCAGGGCATAAGCTATGGTTAATTTTTTCAATGCCGTGGGAAGTTAAACAAATATTAGCTAAAACAAAAATGCTTTTAAAATATGTTAATTTGTAAGCTAGTAGTAGCAAGGCATGATCACTCATGTAGGGAGCAAAGGCAGGTGGATCTCTGAATTCAAGGGCAACCTGGTCTACATAGTAAGATCCAGGACAGTCGGAACTATATAGAAAAAAATCCTTGTCTCAAGAAACAAAAAGCAAAACAAAAGAAGTAGTGGTGATGAACACAGGTATTGAAATCAGTCAGGTTAAAATCCACCTCTGAAAACTCCAGCTGTTTCTAACAGTAATTCATTTGG